TACTAGTAACACTACAATGTGGTGTTAAAATGTAGACCTGCCATACAGAGTCACCACATGACATTACTGGAATGTGTTTTTCATCAACCACTGCCCATCTCTCAAAACCTATTAAAACTTATTGCTTCTTGAGGATTTGTGCCTCCGTATGGAGCTATAGGTATTCATGGAAAAAAATGCTATTCTCTGTAGTGCTAGAGTTTGGTGAATGAAGATTATTATCAGAAAAGTACTGGTGTCCATTAATTAGCGAGAAAACTGTAAGAGAACAGCTTGTTACCATTAGAGAACTCAGATTAATCTGACAATTTGTTAATTTGTAAATATGCCAGATAACTTGCATTCAGGTACACAGAGTTCATACTAACCTGTAATTTCAGTCTTGATTTCACAACGGACTGCATTGATGAAATGGAAATAACAATGTCCTTTAACTCTCCTGTGTAGGAACACTACCTATGTGTAGGTAAAAACGAATCTCCAGGGCTGAGAGGTCCAGGTGACTAGGACAAACTGGACAGCAGCAGCTGCCTAATAAAAACCTAGAAGGCATCCAGAAAGGCATGTGGATTCAGGCTCAGATGTGGTATGCTTCTAGCTCTGCAAGGTCCACCTGTGAGATCCATCCACTGGGAACTATCTGAATCAGAAGTGATCTTAGAGCAAGTCCATCTCAGAGAAAACATCAGTAGCCTAGATGAAACATCCTTTTGAATTGACTGTGACAGGTACATCAGCTTGCCACCACTGTCACATATATGTTTACCATAAACAACCTGATGTGACTGAGGCAGAACTCTGGTGTCAAGAATATTTTAAAATGTACATGTATTTGTTGATACCAAAGGGAGTGAGAGGTAAGCAGAAGGTGGACTCACTGCTATTTAAGATTCCTCTCCAGACTAAATTGAATTCAAATGATGTGTGTAAGTCTTTGCTGAAATAAATGTTTTTTTTTAGTATTCCTGCCAGAAAATCATAGTATAAAATTCAAAGTGAGTTATAATGATGACTTTTCAGCTGCCAATAGAGCTTTTTAAGGAACATCCAGTGAAATATTATTTCATCAGAAAACGCTGACATGATGTGCTAAAACCTGACTTTTACACTAGGATCTTTATTCTTTTCACTTAGTACTTAGCTGAGAAAATTTTACAAAAGTTTCAAAACTACTGAATTACCTCAAACCTAAATTGCAGAAAATTGCAAATCTGTTGAAATTATTTTTTCTTAGAATATTTCTCTATTTATTCCAGGAATGGAATATGTAGGTAAGTAACTGCAGTACGAACACCCTAAATACTCATAACAACACATTCATACAAGGTGTTTTAACTTTCTTTTGGATTATGTGTACATAAACATAAGTTTTGACTTACCCTGAGCTAGACTGGTAAATAAAACAATTGAATTTCTCACTGGAACAGAATACCATTTTTCAGATTGCAGCTGTTATTATATCAGGAAGTCTGCTTGTGAAAATGAGCTGTCATCAGAGAATACAAAAGCTTTCTTAAAGTTGGATGTGTATGATTTCTCAGTCTCTTTAATTTTGGACAAGTTTTTAAGACTTTTAGAGTGTAATTCTGTTATTGTAATCTAACTGTGAAGTGTCAGTTGTCTTTATGGAGAATTAGTGGGGTTTGATCTCAGAGTTCCAGAAACCATATACACAAGAAGGATACAACAAAGAAAATTGCGTCTTCCACAGTGTGTTTTATTGTTGTAACCAGTTTCTTCAATACAACAATCCAATGTATTTATTAGAGCAGATGGTCACAATAAATCACTTTCCTGTTGTATTGCCTGAGGTAACAGCAGCATTTTTTTCCATGTCTTTCATCCAAAGATGATTTTTACTCTTTATTACTCTTTCTCTATTTTTTTAAACTATGCTATTAATAATTGCATTTTTTTTCCGTTTTTATATTTTGTATACATTTTGCAATAAGTAAAATCATTATATTTGAAATTTGAGAAGACCCAAGCAAAAGTATTATTTCATTATGATAGGAGTTGAATGACAAAAACAATATCAATCGCTTTTACCTCAAAAGCTGAACAAATAAAATGGCTTGTATGTTATTATCACATCCAGTGCAAATAAGGAGAAATTCAAAACCTGTTAGTATGTAAGAAACTTAATGACAGTGAAAATATTTTCTGAGTTTTCAAATGAATTTATTAAATTCTCACATTTGTTTCTTTCAGTCTCTTTAAGCTTTTCCCAGCTGTAATTTTAACAGGAAGCATTAACTTTTTCCCCAGAAGTAATATTTGTTCACTAAAAATGCATGAATTTGCATTAAACCCTGCTGGCCCTGACAATAAAGCTTAATGTGAGGGTCCAGTTAATAGCTTCAAATGTATCTGCCATCCAGAATATAAGGAGCCATATAGTGAAATTGCCATAAGTCACTGTGTGGCTGGACTATGTCAGAATGGATCACAATGCAGTGATCTCTCTGGAGAGTTTAAGTGTCACAGTCTGACTAGTAAAAATCGCTTTTGTCATGAGGCATTTGGGTTTGTCAGAAAGAAATGTCTGAAGAATGTAAATGCAGCATTTCATAAATAAAATAAAAATTAAAAAAATACTTTGCTGTTACATTTCCATTATCTGAATTCATAAAATGTCTTTTGAGTGCCTGTACCAGAAAAATAAACCTACACCTGCTCATTTAGTTTTATATTTGTAAGTACTATTCTATTTATATTTAAGCACTGCTGCTGAATCTGTTTTGATGAGAAACCTTACACAAAAAAGTTGTTGAATAATAAAATTGGTCTCTGAAAACCACCACTCTTTGTTCTTCAACTTAGTACAATAATTTTATATATTTTTCCATGCTGCAATATTTTGGTAATTAATTTAAAACACAGAAATAAAAGCATACATAGGTTAAGATATTTATTTGCAATCTATACAGTTAGCATGAATATTTTTTTTATCTTGTCTTTTCTATATTCAGTATCTCTGCGTGGATGACAGTCATATAAGCACATGTTACAGTTATATTGTATACCCGTTACCATCATTGATTAATGTTTCCATTTTACTTCTTTATCATAATTTTTTATATTAGTTTTATGTAGTACTTCAGTAAGCAGATGTTAACAGCTCTTGATGAAGGCAAAAATGAGATATGCTTAAATTTTTAATATCAGTCAACAGGGAAGAATTCTTCAGTTATGTGAAAGCATTGCACAGCTGGTGTTTGGGATGGAATAGAAACATAGCTTGAAGACACTTTTCTGCATCTACTTATTTAGAAACCAAAGTGACTGCATGTGTAGGGCAGCTTTAATGTGCATTGTCTTGTATTTATGCCTCAAAGGGTTGCTATAGAAGCCAAGATTTCTAGAGTACAGTATCTTTCAGCAATTTACTTTGATGGTCAGAAGTTGCTGTCTTACCTCATGTAACCAGCTGTTCAAAATCTAAAAAATCTTCCAGATCAGGAGTTCTTCAGTTGTGCCCTAAAGATATGGTTTACATTTCCTTTAATTTGAAGACTAGTCTCAAACAGGATTAAACTTTTAATATTTTGTCATAATCTATTACTTAATAAAATCTACAGAAACAGGGTTATGTTTAATTTTAAAAGCTATCACAGCACTCTATAGGAATACACATATTTCTAACAACTTTAAATGAGGCTGCTTCTACTTTCTCCTTATTGAGTAAAATGCTGATGAGCGCAAGGTCAGATATAGAGTAACTCAATGGCACACCAGAATCTCTTCTGGCAATACCTATGCTACTGAAGAGTACCATTCTTTTATAAATCTTTACTGAAATTAAATGAAGTGACATGTGAAGTTCAGCTCTTCAGCCAGACTTGGTATCCAAGTTTTTAAGACATTGGAATTAATGATATTTAGCTCACTGAAGTAAATCTCTAGTTAAAGTCTTTAGTGACTTTTCATGCTGTAATTATTAAATTATAATAAATTGGTCCAGTCTCTTTTGATCTTTTCCAGAACATTATTTTGCAAGAATCTAAAAGTCTTTAGAAAGTTTTAGTGTTTTGTTAATAAAAGAACTGAAAGTAATACTTCTTATGCTTTAATTGACTCATTTGTTATGACAAAAGTCACAACAAAATGTCTAAAGTTGGAAACCTGGCATTTATGTTCAGCACTTGCAACCTTGCTCCACATTCAATGAGTGAATTTTTAATTCCTTTATATCAATTAATAAAAAAATAGCTATTGGATGTGAAAACAACTGGGGTTTAGTGAAAAAAAAGAATATTTATTTACAACTATTTAGTGTGTATGTTTTAAAATAAAGGTGTTGTTATCAGTGAACCATGTGACTTAATTTCTGGGTGATGGCTTCAGAAACTAGAATACTATGGCCAATATAGCTTAGCTGTAAAATGTAGATTCTCATTTTATCTTAGATTTTCTTTTTAAATTTTTGTGCTTATGTAGCACTTGACTGAGAAGCACAGGTACTCAGTATTTCATCAGATTAGGTTTCTTATTCACTGTAAGTTAACTGGTTCAAAAAATCAAAATCAATAGGTTGCCTAATCTGTTGGATCTTGTAATATCAGCTTTATTACAGAATGTATTGGGACAATTTTCTTTTTTTTTGGCTTGGAAACAGGATGTTTTCTTAGTGTGGTCTACACAATACCACAATAAAAATGAGAAGGCTTTCATCAACAGTGTTTTTATTGATACTTCAATAAAAATGGGAATATCTGCATAAAACCTCTTGAAGAATTTGGCATTCTACCAAATTCTCTTGAAGACCCATTGTAACTTGAAGGGTTTGTTTTATTATTGCGAGTATGGCTTTCTCCTGGAGTTCTTTTATTCCATTTAGAACTGCTTTGATTATGAAACTGAAACTTTTAAATGTTATTTTTAAATATAAGTAAAGAACATAAAAGTTCTCATCAAAATTTGTTTTGCCTTCCTCTGTTTTCTCAGACTAAATGTGATAATACATTTTTTCTGTCTTCTGTTACTCTATTTTTCATCAGGTTTTACTGGTCAGTTTTGTGAAGCAGCTGTTGCTGCCTGCCTGTCACAACCATGTGGAGTCTCCAGCATCTGTAAAGACATAGTGGATGGCTACCTTTGTTTCTGTGCACCTGGTTTTATAGGTGGGTTCAAAGGAGTATTGTTTAACCTGATTAAGTCAGTCCTAAACTATAGAAAAGAAGGTTATTCAAAAGTAGCAATACATATTAATTAGCCATGTGCTACTGATTCAGAAAGAAGCAACTTTTATTTCCTGGCACACAGACGTACTTGGCTGTGTAAGAGTATTCAGCTGTAAAAAAATAATGACTACAAGAGACTATTTCCACCCTGATAATTCTTACTTTATACTATTTTAGACAGGGTGTCTTACACTGGTGTGATTGCAACTCCCAGCCATATGCAAGCTGGTCTTAATCTGTCTGCTTTGTGTTTCCTGTAAGAGTAAGGCTGCAGTAACAAGGGCCTTAACTGCCAAATACACATCCGAGATCCTGGACAGGTTTAACTATTCATGCTTAAGCTTACCCCACCACTTCATTGTCATTAGTACAGAGTCTGACTAGATTAAAATTACTAATTAAAATTAGTTTGGTTATGTCAGCATACTGTCATGGTAATTTCAGAGTACAGGGTTAACAAAAAAAACAAACAAAAATAACAAACCCAAACAAATACAAAAAAGAAAGTCTTTCCAGACACAGTTTCAGATTTTTTTGACTTTTTGATCACCTCTATGATAAAATAATCAAGTGAAATAGGAATTCCCTGAGTGGCAGATCAGATCTAGAGCCCAGATTCATCCTATCCAGCTGCAGGGACTCTGATGGGTCTCCTGAAGCAGGAATAAGAATATTCTAGAATCTTTCTCAATAATTGCGGAAGACACAGACAACCAGAGGAATTCAGTTCTTGAGTAGACTTTACACCTCTTAAATTGTTGCTCTGTGTCCTAACGTAGGCATCCATTTAGATGATGGATCTGTAATTTAATAGCTGTAGTATTTGTGTCTATAATATAGTGAAATGCTATGTCTTGTTTCTATGGTTGGTTTCTTTTATTATCAAAATATAAAAGTAAAATTGATGTTATTATTGGTAATTCTTGATGAAGTCTTATCTTATTGAAATGTTTCTTTAAATTCCTAAATCTACATAATTGATTAATAATTTTAGGTCATACATTTTCTGCGTCCAAATGTAGTCCTCAAAATGCCTCTGAAACATTCAGGAACTTTTCACCTCCTTTTCAGGCATAAGTAATAGGAAATTTGAATCCATCATCTGTTTGGATAATTCACATGCAAAATGCACATAAACACTTTCTGATCTTTGTTTTACCTTGAAGGCCAGAAAAAATATTAGGTGCATCATTTTCAAGTGCAAATCCGTACCTATTCTTTTTCATTTCTGTGTATCTGCATATTTAAAAATATATGGCAGTATCTAACATTCTATTAGTTTCAAAAAAGATTTAAAATATCTAGCCATAATATGAAGCTTTACCAGTATTTCCCATAAAGATCTCCTTAAAAAAAATAATAAAAAAAAAAGAAATAAATGGAAAAAGAACCCCAACATTATAGAAAAAGACTGTGGTATTTTAATATTTGGTATTAGAAATCATTCTTAAACTTTTATGTTGCTTCAGGGAAACTCAAAACTTTATTGCTTTTAAAATATGAAAAAATGAATTTTTTTTATTACCTCTGTAAATTAATCTATACAATTCTCATCAGATCTTTGTTAAGTATTATATATTCAATTCACTTTTGCCTTTAATCAACAAGAAATGAATTCCCCAAAGACAATTCAGGGCTCATTGATAAAAGTTCTCTGCACCTAACCTCAGTTATTTCATTTTATTGTTGCTGCTTTCACTGGTAACTCACCACCATGTGAATGAATCCTTCACTTATTTCCAGGTAATAACTGTGAGACTGAGGTAAATGAGTGTCTTAGTGACCCTTGTCACAATGGAGCTACTTGCGTTGATCATCTGAATGCCTTCAGTTGCATCTGTCAAGATGGATTTCAAGGTATTAAAAAATCATAGAACTATAACTTCATAAATCTATTTTGAGTGTTACACCAATTTTTTAACACATTGGATGAGATGCATGTATACTTACTTTAGTGTCATCAGAGGTTGTAAATATGCAAATTCAGCATGAGTGCATCTTGACTGAAGTTATCTAATTTGCTTTTATGACAGCATAGGACTAGGTGTTTTTTACTGGCTGACGGTTTAGATGTTGAAAATGAACCAGTGGGAAGATCAATGAAATTTTGCAAATAGGAGATACTATTTTCTGTAAGCTTTTTAAACTGCTAGCAGATTTAATGTAATAGAATCAGAGAAAAAAAATGGGAAATTTTTTTGTTCTTGGCATATTTGTACAATTTATATAAAAAATGTAATCACTTTGATAAGCGCATGCATTAGTATCTGCACCTATTCTTTACTTTCAGCTCAGATTAAGAATTTAAATTGCATCCACTTTATTTTTAGTGAATCATATTTTAAATATCATGGATTTTTAGTCACTGATATACAAAACAACCTGTAATTCAAATGTTACAGGGCAAAATGTTACAGGGCAAAATATTACATTTCTACCATTAGCTATATTCAGAACAGCTATCATTTGCATTTTTAATTAGTAAGATTTTTTGAACTTCCCAAACCACACAATTGATGTAATTTTTCATTTATTCTTCAAATGATAAAAAAATTAAGTTTCCCTAGAAATATTAGCAATTGAGTATTTTATACTTTAAATAGCTATGTGCTTGTTATTTATAGTCTCGACTGGAATACATTGTGTTCTTGTATACATTGGACCTCTTTTTCCATTTTTTGGGAGTACCTCTGTTGCCTTATCATGAACACAAGGAATATTTTCTCTCATGTGAGTGCAGTGCAGTCTGTCATATTTAATGCAATTTTTTTCGATTCTTCTCTATTTATGTAGTAAGAAAATTGCTTGAAGCCTTGGGAATCTGTTCAATGACTGTAGTTTTTATTTTTTAAGAAAACTAGTGAATAGCTTAAACATTAAAAATATCAACATACTGTCATAGATGGCTAAATTTGAATGTAAAAAGGATGTCAAATGGATTCCAGCATGTGAACTATCTTCAGTTAAAGATGGTATTTAACTCTATATGCTATGCAGTAACTTCTCTTCTCTTTGCCTGATTGTATATTTATAGGCACAACTTGTGAAGCAAACATAAATGAATGTCACTCTTCTCCATGTCTTCATAACGCGTCATGTGCAGACCTTATTAGTGGTTATGAATGCAGCTGTCTGCCTGGCTTTACTGGTGAGTTGTATTCATAGAAAACTTTGCTCTTCACATGGAGGTAGTCCACAAAACATCCATTAAGGCATTATTGACTAATTTGCTTGTGCTTCCTTCTCATTTCTCTTTATCTGCCCTGGTCTAATGTTTCATTTGTATTACCAACAAACTGGAACACTGACTCCATCTGTAAAATAAAGAGCACAAGATAAATTAGCCTGCATTTAAAAAGGCCTTCAAAGCTTCCACACAGAGGGAAGATTAGTTACCATTTAGCAACTCAAAAATAAGTTGTTATATGTTTGTGGTGATAAGAATTTAATGGATGCTGACATTATTATGTGTCTCTTTATTTGGCTGATTTATATTAGTTTCTCCTCACAAGTTGCTTAAGATTCTTGTGGTGCAAATGAATTAGAAATTGGCACCTGCTTGTTTTAACGTACGCTCAAATCTTTCATCTTTTCAAAGGTGCAAGATGTGAAACAGATATAGATGAGTGTGCTTCATTTCCCTGCAAGAATGGAGCCACCTGCATTGACCAACCTGGTAATTATTTCTGCCAATGTGTGGCTCCGTTTAAAGGTAATGAACACCAAGGGAGAGGGGAAAGCAAACATAATTAACTTTAGAAAGCATTTCTGTCAATTGTCTGAACTCATTTCACCTTCCTACAGCATTATTAGTCCTTCATTTTCCCAGGCAAAGCTTTTAAAGTGACCAGCCAATTATGCCTTAGGCTGCAAGTAATGTTGAGTAAACTTTGTTTATAAATCTATTACGAGTTTTTATTTATTAATAAAACTGGATACTTTCAAGTTAGTTTGTTAACAGAATAAGATTATTTTAAAAATTATTACAAAATTAGGCTGCCTTTGCAAAGATTGGTTGCTTTTCTACACATTTTCCTCCCTAATTTGATTGATCAATCTCTAAATTATTTTTTCATTATCAGAAAACAATTTATAGTTATCTTGGAATCCATAAATTTTGTGTGATTATTTCTATTGAAATTTAAAAGAATGTATTTAAAGGAAATACACTTAAAAAACAAGCTTTATTATGATATTTTCTTAGAAATTTTGAGGGTTTAATTTTAAACACTCACTGCTACAATAATATAAAATAACAAATTGTGTTGTTTCTTAAGCAAATCTAGTTCAAGTGATAATCTCAATTATAGGCACTTGTTGATTTATAAATGAAACATCAGCACATTTTTTCCTCCTGCAGTTCAATGTAATGGTATATATTTAGGATTCTGGAATAATCATTCAAAGGCAATTTTCTTGGTATATTGAGACAGCAGGGCTTTTTCCCTTTAGGGAAGATTGTTGAATTAAATTCATCATTCGTGAGAAAAGAGTGAGCTCTAATATTTGCTCTGATTATTTTAGTTAATGGTCAAAATTTAGTTTGTTGTTTTTATTAGTTATAATTTATGTTCCGCTAAATAAAATGTAGTATAATACAAGTAAATGAGTACTGCAGTATCAGACTTGCTTCTGCTCAGAAAGATGTAAAATAATTTTCAGTGCATGGTTAGAAATACTGGTCTCTCAAGTAACTGTTTCACAAGGAGAAAGATTTTCAGAGGACTTTAGTATTAATTTTGATATTTAAGTAAATGATCAAAATTTCAGAAAGTCAGTGTTTCTGTAGTTACCCTTCAGGAAGCTAGCAGTGTCTAACAACTGATAGAAAAGTTAAACCCTGCTGCAAAGATTTGTAAGTGGTAGCTGAGCTTCTCTAAAAACATAATATTCTTGGTACAGAATGTCTAGAATCTATAGGATTCTTGTTGAAATACAAGATTCTTTGCGATTGTTTACTTCTTTACAGGGTTTTCTCAGCACTTTTCAAGATCAAATTCTTGTGTTAATGTTACCTAGATTTATGGTGTTATAAATAAAAGCATAATTAGTTTCATATGATAACTTTACCTCAGTCTTACACCATCTGTTTATTTAGTATTAAACTCCTGTAAATGTAGTCTTCAGTAGCTTCGCTTTTGCCCTTGGTTTGGGGGAAGCTCAAGATGTGATTAAAGGAAAAAAAATTTATACCAGATTATGTTATTACTGAACAGATTCCTGTGTAAACTCACACAGAAATCCTTGAAGTTACTGAGCATATGTTGCAGCTAAGGCCAAATGGAGGAACAATAATAGCATGCAGACTTATATAATATGGTTTTGCCATTTATAATAGTTATCTGTGTCACAAATACTATATGTGCTTGTGAATATATTCTAATTACCCTGACATGACAGTCGTATTCTCTGTCTGCTTTCACTGGTGTTATGTCACTGACCTGTATAGTACAAATTACTATTACAACTTTTACACCTCACACTTAAATGATGAAACGCTATTTACCATGCTGCTACTCACACATACTGTAGCATAATCTTCTTCTCATACAAGATTTAATCTAAGTAAATATCTAGTATAGTTGCTTCAGCTTTGTTCTAATGTATTAGTCCCTGCAAATATGCTACTATTTTAGAAATATCTCTCTCTTCTGCTCATTTTCTATCGTATCTGAGGTACAACACTGATAGTCCTGTATATTGGACATTTTTTATCACAGGACATTCTGAAATTAAGTTCTTCAGAAACAGAGAAAGGGATCAGCTGGTTTTCTGTTGCGCCCCCTACTGGCAAAGTAACTGTTGGAACTGGGAGCAGGAAGGAAGATGAACTTGATTTGGGTGCAGGACAAATAAAAGATTTTAATATTAGCAACAGGAGGCAAACAGCTCAGAAGTACATTCAGCTGCAGTTCTGGCCAATACATTATCACTGGTAGTCTTTGGCAGCAATTTATCTATTATAGTGTTAAGAAGGCCTCTCAGCCCTCTTATGAGCTTGATTCCATTATAGCATCCTAGCTGGGGAGTTATTATAACAACTTTTCTCTTAGGATATTGATTGTACAATTGTAGCCTTTCTATAATAGTATCACAGTTATTACAGAATTGATATTAAGTCTTTCAGAGAAGAGCAGTGTGTGAGAAACATACTGTGAGATTGTATCTCATTTAGGATTCCTAACAGTTTCTTGCAAGGTAGAATGAAAGATCCTATGTCTCTATCAGAAAATACTGTCTTGTTCACACACAATTCAAGAATTAGAAAACTTTATAGTCCCCACTGTCATATTTTATCTATATATAAAAATATATATCCACACTTTACCTATATTTCTATCCATGCTGTTCCATGTAGAAGCACGTTAAATGCAGACCTGAAAAAAAATTATTTACAGAGAATAACAGGAAGAAGAAGTTTGTAATACTCGTATTTTGAAATCAATACACCCTTTCATTTTCAATGAAAAACTCCACATCCTTTTCTGCTGAGTAAAAAGAAAAAAATTCCAAACCTCAAATCACTCCATATTTTTTCAGTCACTTGCTGTTCTCCATGAGAATTTAACAAAGTACATTTCTTATCTTAAGCTAGTTATTTTGTTACAAGGCTGAAAAATATCCATTATATTCTTCTAGCTGCGCCAGCAAAATCAAAACTATTTTTGGATTGCTACAGTTTTATTTGTTTTCCTTAGTTTCGCATCTTCTTAGTTTTAAGTCTTCATATAATTTAAAGCTGGAGAAGAACATCAGTTTACAGATTTTGCCTGGAACTTGCTTTTTGTGTGAAGGGAAGGGGAGGAATTCCTGCATTTCATTCAGTTGTTCAAAGATATCTTGGTAGAAGACATGCTCACATGCTGTACTGATAAACACTGGTTTACTGTTTCTTGGTAAAACTGGCCTACTACATAATGAATATTTCTTATACTTCTGAGTTGTTCTAATATTACATGTCTACTTTCAAGGTACCTCTAAGTGCTTCACCCCAGTCATTAGCCTTTCCATCCATATTTAGATGTATTGATGGATTTGGTGTTTTGTAAGAACCTTGCAGAACTTTAAATATTCTTTTAACAGCCAGGTTTGTAGTAATAAATGCAAGTTCACTGTTCACCACTTCGGAGTGCCAACATTTTTATGTATTATACAGCCACATCAATAAAGTTAGTTATAGCTATTAGACATAGTCCTTGTTAAGAGTGTAGACAAGGGGCATTGTCCCTGTATTGAGCATGCTGTTTTTCAGTATTTCTTAGCATGCAAAAGGAGAATGATCCCAATACAGTTTTTGGACCAGCTAGTTTTTATGGAAAATAAAGTAGGACTTATAAAACTGCTTTATTCGTATTTGGGATTAAAAGCTAAGAACAGATTTTGCGTTCCCACACCAAACTGCAAATTTTCCCTATTTTCTACAGTGGTATTTAAGGAAAAGGTGACCCAAACTAATTTTTGACTACCAACATTTCTGTGACGCACGGACTGAACCAGTATTCTGCTATTCCCAAAGAAAGCTCAGGAAGTAAGAATTGAGGTAGAGATTGTATATTTGATATGTGATAGCCCTGTAAGAGTTGACATGGTTGGAGCTTTTTTTCCTTAAAAAAAAGGCAAACTAAAAAAACCCCAAACCCCTGCTTAGTAAATTGATTTTAATAAATGGAGCAATGTGCAAAGAAGTTTATCCTTTGATCCAGATTACTGCATGACTCATTTTAAAAAATGCGCTGTATGTGCTTGGTCTAGATGCTGCTAATAGGTACGACCTTTTTAATCAAATATATGTAATTGTAGAGGAAAATTGAAATTCAGTTCTGAGGAAATGTCTACTTATTTGTTGTAGCCTTAATGACACATCTCCAAATGTGTTCCAATTAAGGTTAAAGCAAAAATGGTAATTGGCCATTAAACATGTTGCAAAAGAAAGTAAACTAGGGAGAAAGGCAACTCAGCAGAAAAAAAAATGCTGAAGTCCGTTGAAAAGCAAGAGTAATAATGGAGTTTTCAGCACAGGACACTCTATTATGGGAAGAGCTAATTGCAAAACAGATAATAAGTAAGAAATGTAAGTGCTCATGAAGCCAAAAAAAACTGGAGTGGAGATAATGGAGCAATTACTTTTTCAGTGCTCATAGGCCAAATTTCAGTCTTCCTGTGCCAAGACCCTGCAAAAAAGGCAGTTATGCAAGACCTGTGGCTCTTTCTAGTATATCTCTGTGTTAGACCATAAAAGAATATCTCCTGTTCAACATCAGTTTATACCTGGTTCTGCCATTCTCTTGACAGTGAACAGCCAAATAAAATTTTATTTAGGGAAAAAGGAAACTGATGCCTGGAACTATGAAGCACACTTTGCATTACATAGAAGCTTTTTGTGGGTAGAGAAGCAGAGTGGCAGGTGTATTACGTAGACAACATGCATTGTCTCTAAGCAATAGAGAAGGTTTTTCTAAAAAAGTTATACAATGCCTAAGTAGGAATTAGTATGAACTGGGACTTGCTCTTGGCTTGTGTTTGAAGTCACTGCAGAACTTCTTTGGATTTTTTTCTGATATTTCTCCTGATTTTTCTATTGTTTTGAAAAGTTACCATCTAGATACATAAATTCTGGTGTTCCTGCTTCCAAAATGAAACAATTGTGTAAGTCTTTTGCTTAGTCATTTCTAGTGTCAATTTAGGCAGTCTTGGGTACACAAGATATCTGTA